TTAAAATCCTACGCCAGGTGTGGGTGTCCCCGGCACATCTTTGTATCAAACCTGTGCATCTCCAGGGAAAAGTGGACAGAGGCTAGCACTGATCTAGATGGAGGGGAAAAGTTCTCACACTGATTCAATTAGAGTAGTATATGTTGTAATGTAGCTTCAAGGGATAACTGAAACTTTTGGAGAGTGCTTTTTTTTTTCTTTCCCTTTTTCTTTCCTTTGGCTGCTGCCACATGGAGCTCATTTCACATTTCAACTATACTGTAAGTGGTACAGAAAAACGGTTCTCACATTGTGTCAGATCCACTGGTGCCGAATCTACAGGCACCCTCCTCCAAGTAGTCTGAGAATACAGCTGTGCATAAAGCTTTATCTTTTCTACCCTACTCCTGCCCCACCTGGGTTTCGAGTGGATGAGCTTTCTGTCCGATTGCTTGCCAGAAAATGGTAAGTGACTACCAGAAAACAATCCATCTCACTCAACTCTCTGGGAAAAAAAGACAAAAGTTAAATCATGACAGTTGTTCCATACTACAGTGACGTGAAACACAGGATAAAGAAAAAAGAAGTACTGTTAACCGAGTATGTCAATAGAAGTAGAAATCCACACCTAATACAACGAGGCTGCACTGGCTTTGTTACTACTGTGCTGATTTGCACCCGTGACGCGTCAGTCCTGGCAAGTTCTCTGTGAGCAAGGCGCCCTTCCATCTGAGGTAGCCAATAGTCTGCAAATATCGCAGAAATATTTTGATTGGGGGCCCTCAGGAGCTGCGGCTGCTTCGTATACTGTGGTATTGCAGCAACGCCCCAATCTTGCTTGAACAGTAAACAAATATAACAATAGCTATAAAGACAAACCGCAAAAAAAATTCCCACTCCTGGAATTCCTGATGCGAGGTGAGCCCCTTCCTCTCAGAACTAGCCAGCACCCCATCTTCCCACTGCACTGGGGTGCTGCGGGAAGCTGTGGGTGCTCAGTGAGTCTGCAATTTGGCTCTGCCCTACTCTTTATTTGTCACTCGAAAGATCTAAAGAAAAAACAACCCTGGAAAATGAGGCATATGTGTTTGTTCACTGTGGAGAGCTCCCCTAGCGCAGTCCTTCCCATTGCAAAATGACATCCTACCATCAGAGCCGTGATGTTCACATTGCAACGCTGAAAGGGAAGGTGGCTTCACCCGCATCAAGTCCGGGCAGACGAAGACTCGTGGGATTCAGTTGCAGCCTGCGTGTCTATATTGGCCATGGAGGCAACAATACCACAGCTCATCCTCCAGCTGGGATGACTGCTGAGGCGCAAGGATCAGAGTCATCTTTGTGGTCTTCCTCGGCTAGTTCAGACAAGGGGGACGTGGGGAATCCCTGGCAGTCATGCTGCCAGCGTGCAAATCCCCCTGCCCAGCCCCAGCGCAGAACCGAAACAGGGAAGGTCCATTCCCAGGCCTCAGCGAGGGAACTCACGTTGGCGCAGACAAAACCAGGACTTCCTTCTCACTTCAGTATAAATGGTTTCACTGTGCCTTGTGTTTCTCTAGAATTCACTGCGTTTGATTTTCTTCTGCAAATTCTCTTTCTCCTAATACTTTACAAATACTCAGTTCTTTTTCAAATAAATGACAACATGATCACATAAAGAATATTAGAATTCATGTAGGATCTAATAAATTGTGAGCACCTTAAACTCTACTGCACTAGGAACGACAGCACTTTTGTTGCATAAATTACAAACTGCTGCTATAAGCTAGCAGCTATCCTGTGTCTGTGTATTAATGAATGTGAGTAATGCATGGAAAGGGATATTTCCTTAACCCACATTCTTTTTCTTTCTCGTTTCACATTTTACAATCACAAATGTGTTCATTTGCTCAGGATCAATGGACCACACAGTGATTTTTTGGGTCTAAGGAATATAAAATGAAGGCTTATCACCAAAACTTCCAGCACATGCGTACAAAGCCATTTTCTATAGTTACAAGGACTCAGTTGCCAAAGGAGGATTTTTTTATAAGTATGTATTGTATCCTACATGTATTTACAAGAAAATTTGGCTATGAAGATTACTTGACACCTTCTGACTCTCATACAAAGCACTGCTCTGCACACTGCATTGCTAGTATTTGTACAGGGCTACGCTCCAAAACAAAAGGACTCAGAATACCTTGTTACGTAAGGGGGATTTTCCTTAAAGGAGAGATTAGTGGTTAAAAATATGGAACGACGGAGCAACGGTAAAAGCCTGCTGTCAGGATGGACGCTACAGCCCCTGTAGTATCATAGAGAGAGCGAGCAGCAATAGTGGTAAGAGCAGCAGCAAGGAGAAAAGAAGGGCAAAGGAGAATAGAGAGGGCAAAAGGAGAAATGTGCAACTGCGTATTTATATCCCAGGAATTCCCCACATTTCAAGACCGAGCGAAGAACGTCCTGCAGGCTGGGAAACACCTCCCGCCCACCACGACTTTTCTGGGTATTTTCCGGCAACCGGAC